TTTATTGCAGAGATGAGGTCTCGCTGCCCAGGCGGGTCTCGAATCCGTGGGCTCAGGCAATCCACTCACCTCAGCCTCTCAAAGGCGCGGGATTACAGGCTGAGCCACCAAGCCCGGCTCACTGAAGTTTTTAATTATGAAAAGTTTTAAAAACTAAAGTCAGCCAGGCTCAGTGGCTCAAACTGTAATCTCAGCACTTTGGGAAGCTGAGGCAAGCTGATTGCCTGAGCCTGTGGGTTTGAGACCAGCTGGGACAACTTGGTGAGACTTCATCTCTGCAATAAGTCAAAAATTAGCTGGGCATGGCAGCGCGCACCTGTATTTCCAGCTACTTGGAAGGCTGAGGCAGAAGGATAGCCTGAGCCCAGCAGGTCAACGCTGGGATGGTCATGAGTGTGCCATGGCACTCCAGCCTGGGCGACAGAGTGAGACTCCAACTCTAAAAAAACAACAAAAAAACCTAAAGTCTAGACCATTTTTCATATACAACAAAACCAGCATTCATCAACTGTAAGAGTATTATGTATCACATAAGTAAATTACTCAACTTCCAGATAACTTAGGGTAGTGCTGGTGAGCACCCGGGTGAGGCTAGATGTGGAAGGGAAAGGGGAATCCCTTACCTTATGCTACTTTCTCTCCCATAGGAGAGTACACGAAAAGTGCAGAACAATATCTTTCACATGTGGCGATACTACAATTTTGCACGGATGAGAAAAATGGCTGACTTTTTCCTTCTCCAATCAAATTATAACTATGTGAACTGGTGGTCGACAGTCCAGAGCCTTGTTATTATTCTTTCTGGGATCCTGCAGCTGTATTTCTTAAAGCGTCTCTTCAATGCCCCAACAACTATAGACACAAAGAAGCCAAGATGCTAAGCCAGGGTGATGACAGCACATGGCTCTTTTCTTCTGGGGCAGAAGCTTAGTCAAAGCTTCTGTCAAATCACATTTGTAAGGATATGGGGGAAAAAATAAATCTCTCTTGTTAATGTTTTTAGTCTATTACACTCATCTACAGAGGCAAAAATGGCAACAAAATATTAACAATGTAAAAAGTTCTGAGACTGGCTATTTCTAAAGTAGGTATTAAATGGTATCATCAAAATACTGTTGATCATACAGCAGTCCCCGAACCTTAACGGAGTCTACTTAGTGGTTAAAGTAAAACCTTTGGCTGGGCACGGTGGCTCGTGTCTATAATCCCAGCACTTTGGCAGGCTGAGGTGAGAGGACTGCCTGAGCCCTCGGGTTCAAGACCAGCCTGGGCAACTTGGAAAGACCTCATCTGTACAAATCAAAAAATTAGCTGGGCATGGTGGCACATACCTGGTTTTAGCTACTTGGAAGGCTGAGGTGGAAGGATTGCCTGAGCCCAACAGGTTAAGGCTGCAGTGGCCGTGAGTGTGCCACTGCACTCCAAACTGGCTGACAGAGTGAGACTCAAACTCAAACTCAAAAAAAAAAAAACCTCAGAAGGGAGAAGAGTTGAAAAGATAGGCCCAAATCAAGCTCACTTGCATATAAAAGCAGGAGTTGGTAGAGTGCCTTTTTGCAGTTGAGAATGTTTTATTTTTAGAGCTGTCACCTTTGGAATTTTTTTCTTTTTGAGTCATACTCTCACTCTGTCACCCAGGCTGGAGTGCAGTGGCATGCTCATGGCCACCGCAGCCTCAACGTGCTGGGCTCAGGTGATCCTACCACCTCAGCCTTCCAAGTAGCTGTAACCACAGGCATGTGCTACCACACTCAGCCAATTTTTTTATTTATTGTAGAGACGAGGTCTTGCCATGTTGTCCAGGTTGGTCTCAAGCCCCTGAGTTCAGGCAATCTTCTCACCTCAGTCTCCCAAAGTGTTGGGATTACAGGCGTGAGCCATTGCACCTGGCCTGCCTTTAGAATTTAAAACAAGCAGTATATTTATCTAAAAAGTTGTTTCATTTTATAATATAGTCTTTAAAATTCTTGTCTATAAAATATTATTAGTTTTAAAAAGTATTTTAAAAGGCCAGCTGTAGTGGCTCAAGCCTGTAATCCCAGTACTTTGGGAGGCCAAGGCGAGAGGACTGCCTGAGACCAGGGGTTCATAACCAGCCTAGGCAACGTGGAGAGACCTTTTCTCTACAATATATCAAAAAATTAGCTGGGCATGGTGACTTGAGCCTGGTAGTTCCAGCTGCTTGGAAGGCTGGGGCGGAAGGATCACCTGAGCCCACAGGTTGAGGGTTCAGTGGCCGTGAGCACGCCATTATACTCCAGTCTGGGTGACAGAGTGAGACTCCACTTAAAAAAAAAAAGTATTCTAGTAATCCAAAAATAACTTTGGGAGGCATGGAGAAGGATGAAGGAGCTGAATTTTTATTTCAGGGTCTGTGATTAGTTCTTTTAGTCCAATCCAGGCAAATTAGGAAAAGGTCATAAGAGAAACTGTATGAAATCACAGCAATGAAAAAAACATATCAGCATGGGATCATCACATCCAGGAAAAAGAAAAACTGAGAAAACAGCTTGTTAAAAAAAAAAGATAATATAATTAAATCCCACTCATAAGAACCTACACTTAGTAATAGAAACACATATACAATATAAAAATAACTCTTATCATTTATTTAATACATATAATTTCCCAGGCACTGTGCTGAATGCTTTATAATCGTGATTTCTAATTCTAAAAACCATTCTTAGGTAGACGGTTAAAGCTGTTTTTAAAGTCTTGCATTTTTTCTAAACAGAAGAAAATGAAACTTATTAAAGTTGAATGACTCATCCATGGCTGGTAGGTGGCAGAACTGGGGTTTGGACCTAAGTTTTTCTCTCCTTTTTTTTTTTTTTTGATGTGGAGTCTCACTCTGTTGCCCAGGCTGGAGTACAGTGGCACACTCATGGCCGGCCACCCCAGCATCAACCTGCTGGGCTTAAGGCTATCCTTCCGCCTCAGTCTTCCAAGTAGCCGGAACTACAGGCATGTGCCACCACGCCTGGCTAATTTTTTTCTTAAAATTTATCTTAGAGACAAGGTCTCGCCAAGTTGCCCAGGCTTGTCTCAAACCCGTGGGCTCAGGCAATCCACTCGCCTCAGCCTCCCAAAATGCTATGGCTAATTTAAAAAAAAAATTTATCTTAGAGACAAGGTCTCGCCAAGTTGCCCAGGCTGGTCTCAAACCCGTGGGCTCAGGCAATCCACTTGCCTGTCTCCCAAAGTGCTGGAATTACAGGCTAAGCCACTGAGCCTGGCTTTTTTATTTTTTTAAAAGCAGGATTTAATGAGAGGACAGAAAAGTACCCACAGTGGGAGGGAACCCAAGGGGGTTGTCCTGGACCCACCTTTTCCTTCCATACCACAACATTTACTGTATAGGAAATAAGTTGCTCTTAATTTGTAAAATCTCAGATATGGCCTACTATTCTGATATGGCAAGACCTATTTTTCATGATTTTAATAACAGAGAAAATCCACTGTGTGCTTATCATGAGCTTGGAAAACAAACTGTTATCACAGATAACAATAAGCTATTCTTGTCCTTAGTTCCAATGATATAAAACCTGTTACTCAGAACAAGAAGCCCTCTGATTCAAATATGAAACAATGTACTCTAGATACACATCAATAAAGATCTGAAACCCCATTTCTGTGTATGAATCCAGTCTGCATATGTCAGTGACAGAGTGACTATAAAACTAAAGAAACTGTTGAAGAGGTCGCAGTGTTGACAAAACTCAACATGATGGTTCTACACAAAGGAAACAAAGTTCGGTCCTTCCACACAACCTGAGTCCTTGCAATGACTCTGTTTTAAGTCAGTGTCTCTTCATGTCGCACATATTCCCCAATGTCTGCTTGATGAAATACCACAATTGCCATGGGGTCTACTTTCCTGCAGTCTTGTGTAGATTTTGCTGCCACTCCAAAACCCTAAGATTCCAAAGAAGATACACAAGTCACTCAATGACAAAAAAAAAAAAAAAAAAAAAGCCAGGCGCAGTAGCTGGCACCTGTAATCTCAGCACTTTGGAAGGTGGAAGCGAGAGGATTGCCTGAGCCCAGGGGTTTGAAACTGGCTTGGGCAACTTGGCGAGACCTTTTTTCTATAATAAACCAAAATATTTGCCAGGTGTGGTGTGTGTGCCTGTAGTTCCAGTTACTTGGAAGACTGAGGGGGAAGGATTACCTGAGCCCAGCAGGTCGAGGCTATGGTGGCTGTAAGCATACCACTGCACTCACCTAGGTGACAGAGTGAGACTCCAACTTAAAACAAAACAAAACAAAAACCAAAGAGTTCTTGTTTTCGAGAAATGTAAAAGGTGCTGAGAATTTATAATCTCTCAAGTATACAGACTGAACATACATCCTCCTTGAATAAAATGGCATTTGATTTTTTTTTCCTTGAGTTGAGTCTCACTCTGTCATCCAGGTTGGAGGGCAGTGACACACTCAGGGCCACTGCAGCCTCAGCCCACTAGGCTCAGGTGATCCTTCCACATCAGCCTTGCAAGTAGTTGGAACAACAAGCATGTGCCACCACGCCTGCATTAATTTTTAAATTTTTATTGTAGAGATGAGGTCTCGCCAAGTTGCCCAGAATGGTCTTGAACCCCTGGACTCAGGCAATCTTCTTGTCTCCACCTCCCAAAGTGTCAGGATTACGGGCATAAGCCACTGCATCCAGCCAGTATTTGATTTTTCTAACAGCTACCATCTCTACTCACCAAAGGGATGTCTGCCATGGAGTACACCACTACTCCCTGGTACTGAGAAGTATTTTCAGTGATTCGACCCAGACCAGATTTCAATACATGGTTCCCATACAGGAAGGACTGCTCTGCTCCAGGCTTTATCCATACTTTATACTGTAAGAAAGAGAATTAAAATCCAGCAAAACCACTAAGTTATATCCTTGCAGATAAGCTCACTGCTGGCTATGTGATTAATTTCTTTTCTTTTTTTTTTTTTTGAGTTGGAGTCTCACTCTGTCGCCCAGACGAGTGCAGTGGCCGCTCCCGGCCACTGCAGCCTCGCCTGCTGGGCTCCAGCGATCCTTCCGCCTCAGCCTTCGAGTAGCCGGAATTACAGGTGCGCTACCACGCCTGGCTGATTTTTTTGATTTATAGTAGAGATGACGTCTCGCTGCCCAGGCGGGTCTCGAACCCGAGGGCTCAGGCAATCCACTCACCTCAGCCTCCCAAAGGCGCGGGATTACAGGCTGAGCCACCGAGCCCGGCTGTGATTAATTTCTTAAAAGGACTTTAAGGAAAAGAGAGAGGCACAGAGGCATGGTTCCCTCAAACAGTTCATTCCCTGAAAAGAACTGCCAGGAAGTTCTTTCCTCAACACTAAAAGCAAGTTCTCTTACGGACAGCTGAACAGTTCGTTTTCTGGACCCCATTATCCTCCTTCTGTCAGTCACTTATGTGCTTGTTGATTTTGAGCTGGGTCTGCATAGACTTTTCTTCTTTGCTGGAGATAACTACGACGAAGCAACCGCACGGCACTCCCACCCCGTACCCCTAACCATGCTCAAGCAGCAAGACCTCTGAACACCTGCACGTGTTGACACTGATCCAAGCACTTTCAGGAATTCCGTGGGAAAGAAGCTGCCCAAAATCTGCGTTCTGATGTGGCCCTCATCTTTGACTCCACAAACCTTGGCATAAGGTGCAAGGTAATCCAGAGCTGTGATGTGCAACCGAAATCTGTGGGTCTTAGTGAATTTTCCGAAGCAGGTCCCCAGCGACACCAACTTGTCCCCGGAGATATTGGCAGCCAGCTTCAGGATCTTCTCACTAAAGGGGTTTAAGGGGGAGAAAGGCTGCCCATGAGGGGGCTGGTGCTCCCCCGGGTCCATGCTGCCCGCTAGGCCCTGCCTCACCTAACGTAGTACACCCGGTCGTTGTGCAGCCGAAAACAGTAGGTGCCGTCGGGCCTGTCCACCAGCAGTTGAAGATTCTCCCCTATACTGGGGGCAAAAGGAGGGCTGGAGGCCGCGCCCGAACGAACCGGTCTCGGCACCGCGGCCGCGCCCCACCCCTCCCCACACACACTCTCTCCACCCCGCGCGCTCCTACTATTTCGCGATTTTCTCAAACATGACACGGGTCTCCTCTTCAGTCAAAGGCCTCATTTTCCCGCTGGGTTGGAACACCGAATCCTCGTGCCTCAGTATGCGGAAGCGGAAGTCGGCCTCCCGGGGCTCCCCGGCAACCCCAAAGCCTGCCTCTCTAGCCCCTTGCCATGCGTTCCTCACGCTAGCGCCCCATACCCTGGAGGACCGCCGGAGAGAGAAAGCCGGACGCATAGGAAACCATAGAGACCGGAAACGTGCGCCGCTTCTTCCTGTCTTAATTTCGGAGCCAGCGCCGTCGCTGGTCCGGAAGGGAAGTGACATTGCTGTTGGGAAGATGGCTACGGCTGCCACTCTGCCGTCCTCACCCGCGGCCTCGGCCACCGCGACTGCCACGGCAGCGGCTCTCGGGGAGGTGGAGGATGAAGGGCTCCTGGCGTCGCTATTCCGGGACCGCTTCCCCGAGGCCCAGTGGCGGGAGCGGCCCGACGTGGGCCGCTACCTCCGGGAGTTGAGCGGCTCGGGGCTGGAGCGGCTGCGGCGGGAGCCCGAGCGCCTGGCAGAGGAGCGAGCGCAGCTGCTGCAGCAGACGCGCGATCTGGCCTTCGCCAACTACAAGACCTTCATCCGCGGCGCCGAGTGCACCGAGCGCATCCACCGCCTCTTTGGCGACGTGGAGGCGTCCCTCGGCCGCTTGCTTGACCGCTTGCCCAGCTTCCAGCAGAGCTGCAGGTGCGGCGGGCCAGGCGCGAAGGGGCTTTTTAACTGTAATAGCTGCCATTTCCGATGATAGAAATAGCTAACACTTACATGGCGCTTGCCGTGTGTCAGCTCTCCGCTGAGCCCTTTATTAATGCACTCAAACCCTCACAACAGGCTTCGAGGTAGGTACTATTATTCCTGTTTTACGTATGAGGAAGTTGAGACGGAGATTCGTGACTTGCCCGGGGACACAGCTAGTAAGTTTCGAAGTCAAAACCGGAGCCTAGGAGCACATCCCTCCCTCGTAGAGCTGTTGTGAGCACTAAATAGAGAATCCGTGCAAAGCACTTATCAATGGGTCCAACATGGGTAACACTCTTTATATGTGTGAACATTTATGTAATTAGATATACAACAGCTCCGACTGGAGCTGCCTCAGAACGTTCATAGATCGGAAGCTGACAAGGTGGTCTTATTTGGGGTCATCAGAGGTTACCAAAAAGTCGCTCCTTCTTTAGCCTTATTCTGCCTTCCTAGATCCTCAGCCTATTATCCCTAGTTTTGCCTTGCAGCCTTTTTTGATTAGAGTTTAATTTTCTTTTGAGCCTTTGGACATTTGAGAACATCTTTTGTACCCTTCCATGCCCCAGAATAGCTAGGGGAGTTTATAAAGCAAGCCTCTGCAACTGTAGAGAAGCAAGGGAGAATGTAGACTGAGACAGGAACTGAAGCTGAACAAATTGGCATAGAAGATTACAACCTGAGGAAATATGGGGTAAGGTTGTGGCTTCTAAGCTAGTTAATGTGTTATTATGAAAATAATAATAGTTAACATTAAAGGAACATTTTATTCTGTGCTTATTTACTGTTTATTTATTCTGTTTATTTACTCTGACACATTTACTCTGTATCAGGTTTTGTGTTAAATGCTTTACACACATCTTATTTAATTCTCACACCCTTCTGAAGAGGGCCCTATATTACCAATGAGGAAACAGGTTCAGAAGGGCCAAGTGCCTTGCCACAGCGACAGCTAGTAAGTGGCAGATCTGGATTCAGGTCTGTCAGTGGTTTATTAGCTGTGTGTTTTTGGACAAGTTACTTAAACCTCTCTGGGATTAAAAGTTTCCTTAGGCCAGGCACAGTGGCTCAAGCCTGTAATCCCAGCACTTTGGGAGACCAAGGCAAGAGCCTGAGTCCAGGGGTTCAAGACCAGCCTGGGCAACTTGGTGAACCCTTGTCTCTACAATAAACCAAAAAATTAACTGGGCATGGTGGCATGTGCCTGTGGTTCCAGCTACTTGAAAGACTGAGGCAGAAGGATTACCTGAGCCCAGCAGGTTGAGGCTGTGGTGGCGGTGAGCATGCTACTGCACTCCAGCCTGGGCAACAGAGTGAGACTGCAACTCAAAAACAACAAGTTTCCTCAAATGAAATGTTATTTACCTCATAGACGTGGTGTATTAAATCAGATAGATCATCTAGCCCAGTGCCCAGTCATAGTAAGTGCTTGGTAACTCTAGCTAAGATTTGGGTGCAGAGCAGTGAGGGACCAACGTTCTCCTGCTTGTTATTAGGAACTTTGTGAAGGAAGCCGAGGAAAGCAGCTCCCACCGCCGGATGAACACCCTGACTCTAAATCGGCACACAGAAATCCTGGAAATCCTGGAGATTCCTCAGCTAATGGATACCTGTGTCCGGAATAGTTACTGTGAAGAGGCCCTGGAGCTTGCTGCCTATGTACGCCGACTGGAAAGGAAATATTCTTCCATCCCTGTTATCCAGGTAGCCAGCTTGTCCGGAGACAAACTGATGTTCTTGTAATCATTTATTCTGTGGTCAGGACTGAATCATTAGGGAGAAAGCCTTGCATGTTTCACATCAGTTTCTGCCAGCCAGGCTGGCCTGAACATACAACATTCATTCATTTATTCAAAGATACATGCTAATCATGTACTGAGCACTGCTCTAGGTGCTAGGGATACAATGTGAACAAAGCAGACAAGGCCTTGACTTTCTTTTTTTTTTTTTGAGTTGGAGTCTCACTCCATCGCCCAGACTGGAGTGCAGTGGCCGCTCCCGGCCACCGCAGCCTCAACCTGCTGGGCTCCGGCGATCCTTCCGCCTCAGCCTTCCGAGTAGCCGGAATTACAGGCATGCGCTACCACGCCCGGCTGATTTTTTGATTTATTGTAGAGATGAGGTCTCGCTGCCCAGGCGGGTCTCGAACCCGTGGGCTCAGGCAATCCACTCACCTCAGCCTCCCAAAGGCGCGGGATTACAGGCTGAGCCACTGAGCCTGGCTGCCCCTGGCTTTCTTTAAGTTCATATGCCAGTGGGAAGCTAGATAATTGCCAAGAAAACAAATAATGTGGTCCTTTCAGATATTGGTAGGTGTCTGAAAAAAATAAACCAGGGACCGCCATAGAGGGAGACTAGAGTAGATTTGTTTAGGTAGAGTGGTCAGGAAAGGCCTTTCTGGAGAGGTAACATTCAAGCTAAGACCTAAATGATGAGAAGGAGCCAGTCATGCAAAGATCTGGGGAGAGAGCAGACCAGAAAGTAGGAACAAGAAGTACAGAGGGCTGAAATGGGAAGAAGTTGGAGTGTTTGTGTCTGGGTTATAGTGAGCAACAGGGGAACCAGGTGAAGCTAGAAAGCCAGGCAGGGCCTGTAGGCCCTGGTGCGTCATTACAACTGTGTTGATTGTAGTGGGAAGTCATTGGAGGGCTTTAAGCATTCTAAGCAAGGGAGTTACCCAACCAGATCTTTGCTGGTGAACCTGCAGGCATCAGCTTTAGGAAATCATACTTCAGGAAAGCAATGGGAATGTTGTTCTGCAATATTCAGGGATAGTGGAGTGGGCTCTGGAGAGTGTCTTTCCCATGTGGTGACTCACTCCCTGTATTGTCAGGGCATTGTGAATGAAGTGCGCCAGTCCATGCAGTTGATGCTGAGTCAGATGATCCAGCAACTGAGGACCAACATCCAGCTCCCTGCCTGCCTCCGTGTCATTGGCTACCTGCGGCGCATGGATGTCTTCACCGAGGCTGAGCTGAGAGTGAAGTTTCTTCAGGCCCGAGATGCTTGGCTCCGTTCCATCCTCACTGCCATCCCTAATGATGATCCCTATTTCCACATCACAAAAACCATTGAGGCCTGCCGTGTCCATCTCTTTGATATCATCACCCAGTACCGTGCCATCTTCTCAGATGAGGACCCACTGCTGCCCCCTGCCATGGGTGAGCACACCGTGACTGAGAGTGCCATTTTCCATGGCTGGGTACTGCAGAAAGTCTCCCAGTTCCTGCAGGTGCTGGAGACTGACCTTTACCGGGGGATAGGCAGCCGCCTGGACTCTCTGCTGGGCCAGTGCATGTACTTCGGGCTGTCCTTCAGTAGGGTAGGGGCTGATTTCCGGGGCCAGTTGGCTCCTGTTTTCCAGCGAGTGGCTATCAGCACTTTCCAGAAAGCAGTTCAGGAAGCGGTAGAGAAATTCCAAGATGAAATGAACTCCTACACCCTCATCTCGGCTCCAGCCATCCTGGGCAGCAGTAGCATGCCTGCTGCTGTGCCAGCCACCCAGCCGGGGACGCTGCAGCCACCTATGGTGCTCTTAGACTTCCCACCCCTGGCTTGCTTCCTCAACAGTATTCTAGTTGCCTTCAATGATCTGCGACTGTGCTGCCCTGTGGCCCTGGCACAGGACGTGACTGGGGTCTTGGAAGATGCCCTTACCAAGGTGAGTGCCTTCCTTGGTAATGGGTGGCCAGACTTTTGTGATAAACCAGGCTGTATGACAGTGGTTCCTGCCGACTTGGAGAGGGTTAGTGTGGTTTTAGAGATTTTTCTGGCTGACAAGCTCTGGTTAGACCTCTCCTCATGGGATCTAGAACAATCCATGAAGTGGCTTGCCTGTAGCAATGATTCAGTGATGTATTAGTTTTCTGTTGTGGCATAACAAACTCCCACAAACTTAGTAGCTTAAAACACATTTATTATCTCAGTTTCTGTGGGTCAGGAGTCCAGGCACAGCCCAACGGGGGTCCTCTGCTCAGGGCCTTGTAGGGGTACAGTCAAAGCTGGGCTGCAGTCTCATCTGGAGGTTGGGGTTCCATTTCAGACCCATTCAGGGTGGCAGGTTTCAGTTCCTTGCAGTTGCAGAAATGAGGCTCTCAGCTTCTAGAGGCTGTCCCTCTTCATAGGCGACTCACATCATGGCTGTTTGCTTCCTCAAGGCCAGCATTTCTCTAGCTTGAGTCTCTTTTAGGTATCCTCTTTTAAAAGATTCATTTGATTAAGCTAGAGCCACCTTTTTGGTTAATTCAAAGGCAACTGATTAGGGACTTTAATTACATCTGTAAAATCCATCACCTTTGCCATATTATATTGTAGTTAGAAGCAAGTCTTAGATTCTGTCTTTATTCAAGGAGATGGGATTGCACAAAAAAGTGGATCCTGGGGGCAGGAATCATGAGAATCATTTTAGAATTTTGCCTAACACAAGTAATAATAGTAATAATAATAATATCCTAGTATGGGCCGGGCACAGTGGCTCACGCCTGTAATCTTAGCACTCTGGGAGGCCGAGGTGAGAGGATTGCCTGAGCCCATGGATTTGAGACCAGCCCAGGCAACTTGGCAAGACTTCATCTCTACAACAAATCAAAAATTAGCCAGGTGTGGTGGCATGTGCCTGTAGTTCCAGCTACTTGGAAGGCTGAGGCAGAAGGATCACCTGAGCCTAGCAGGTTGAAGCTGTGGTAGCCGTGAATGTGCCACTGCACTCCAGCCTGGACGACAGAGTGAGACTCCAACTGAAAAAAAATTTAAAATAAATAAAAGTAATATCCTAGCATGGTGCACAGTTTTGACACATTTAAATCTATAGATATTGGGATGTTTCTTACAGTTAATGGTACCCTATACTGTAATTGCTTACAGCTCAATGGCAGTTGTGACTTACATAAAATCTTTCTGTTCGTGTTCTCTTGTAGTAGCAAGAAAGCATGAGCATTGGCCAGGCTTGGTGGCTCAGTCTGTAATCCTAGCACTTTGGGAGGCCGAGGTGAGTGATTGCCTGAGCCCGCGGGTTCGAGACCCACCCGGGCAACTTGGCAAGACCTCAACTCTACAGTAAATCAAAAATTAGCTGGGTGTGGTAGCGCGCACCTGTAGTTCCAACTACTTAGAAGGCTGAGGCGGAAGGATCTCCAGAGCCCAGCAGGTTGAGACTGCAGTGGCTGGGAGTGTGCCATTGCACTTGAGTCTGGGCAACAGAGTAAGACTCCAACTCAAAAAAAAAAAAGAAAGCATGACCATTGAAGTTTTTTAGGGTCAATGAGATTTAGTAATCTCATTGTAGTCATAGTAATCAAACATTTATTTATTTTCAAGTCAGAATATCATTGTAACCCAGGCTGGAGGGTAGTGGCATGCTCACTGCTACCACAGCCTCAACCTGCTGGGCTCAGGTGATCCTTCTACCTCAGCATCCCAAGTAGTTGGGATTACAGATACATGCCACCATGTCCAGCTACTTTTTTTTTTTTCACTTTTTCTAGAGACAAGGTTTCGCTATGTTGACCAGGCTGGTCTTGAACTCCTGGGCTCAAGCAATCTGCCCACTTCAGCCTCCCAAAGTGCTGGGATTACAGGCGTGAGCCACCATACCTGGCCTGTGTTCTTATACAATTTTCTAGTAGTTATAGTTTTCTGGGGTCTCAAAGGTCTTACTTAGTAGAAAGCTTTTATAGGCCGGGTTGGGTGGTACAGCCTGTAATCCCAGTACCTTGAGAGGCCGAGGCAAACAGATTGCCTGAGCCCGCGGGTTCGAGACCCACCTGGGCAACTTGGTGAGACCGCATCTCTACAATAAATCAAAAATTAACCAGGCATGGTAGCACGCGCCTATAGTTTCAGCTACTTGGAAGGCTGAGGTGGAAGGATCGCAGGAGTCCAGTAGGTCGAGGCTGCGGTGGCCAGGAGCATGCCATTGCACTCCAGTCTGGGCGACAGAGTGAGACTTCAACTCAAAAAAAAAAAGGAAACGTTTTATAGTTTTGCTTCATTTTCATGGATCCAACATAATTCTGGTCCATCCCCTACAGGAGTCTAGAACCATGTATTTGGCCGAATGCTGTGGCTCACACCTGTAATCCTAGCACTTTGGGAGGCCAAGGCAGGAGGATTGCTTGAGCCCAGGAGTTTTAAATTAGCTCATGCAACATAGCAAGAGCTGTCTCCACAAAACAAAATAAAAAACCATACATTCTCTATATAATTTTTGTCTTTTTTGAGTCAGAGTCTCTGTCACCCAGGCTGGAGTGCAGTGGCATGCTCATGGCCACTGCAATCTCTACCTGCTGGGCTCAAGTGATCCCTTCAGCCTCTGCCTTCCAAATAGCTAGAACCACAGGCATGTGCCACCTTGCCCAGCTAATTTTTAAAAATTTGTTGTAGAGATAGGGGTCTGGCCATGTTGCTCAGGCTAGTCTCGAACACCTGAGCTCTTGCCTCTGCCTCCCAAAGTGCTGGGATTACAGGCATGAGCCACTGCGCCTGGCTTCTCTGTATGATTTAATGACACTCCCGCACTAGAACTGGAAACTATACCAGTAGAGAAGCAAATTGAGTCAGAACTACATCAGTAAAGTGGCAGAATTGTGAAGACTGACCACGATTCTGAGTTTAAATAAGATACCAATGTAAGGCTGGGCGCGGTGGCTCATGCCTATAATCCTAGCACTTTGGGAGGCGGAAGTGAGAGGATTGCTTGAGCCCATGGGTTCGAGACCAGCCTGGGCAAAATGGAAGGATCACCTGAGCCCAGCAGTGTGAGGCTGTGGTGGCCATAAGCATGCCACTGCACTCCAGTCTGGGTGACAGAGACTCCACTCAAAAAAAAAGCTGGGCTCGGTGGCTCAGCCTGTAATCCCATGTTTTGGGAGGCTGAGGTGAGTGGATTGCCTGAGCCTGCGGGTTCGAGACTCACCTGGGCAACTTGGTGAGACCTCATCTCTACAATAAATCAAAAAATCAGCCGGGCGTGGTAGCGCATGCCTGTAATTCCGGCTGCTCGGAAGGCTGAGGCGGAAGGATCGCCAGAGCCCAGCAGGTCGAGGCTGCAGTGGCCTGGAGCGGCCATGGCACTCCAGTCTGGGCGACAGAGTAAGACTCCAACTCAAAAAAAAAAAAAATAAGATACCAATATAATATACTGTTTGAAATTACTTTATTCATGGAAATTTGAGGGCTGCATGTTTTTGCTTAGTTTCACATACTGCCAGTGGTGATGGACTGCCCAGTGATTGACAGCACCCTTGTCTTTTAGGTAACCAAAATAATCTTGGCCTTCCATCGGGCTGAAGAGGCTGCTTTGAGCAGTGAGGAGCAAGAGCTCTTCATTCAGTATTGCACTGTCTTCCTGGAGGATCTTGTTCCTTATCTAAATCGCTGTCTCCAAGTCCTTTTTCCACCAGCTCAGATAGCACAGACTTTAGGTAAGAGAAAAAAAAGGATTTTTAAAAATTGCTTTCACATACTAAATAGTTCGCCCATTTTTATAAACCAGTGTTTCTTAGTACATGTAAAGAAGTTTGCAACCATTAGCACCATTCTTTTAGAGCATTTCGGTCACTCCAAAAAAGATTCCTCGTGCCCACTTGTAGTAATTCCTTGATAGCATCTTTATCCCTAGCACTCTTTCTGTTGCTATAGATTGCCTTTTCTGGGCATTTTATATAAATGGAATCATCCAATATGTGGTCATATCTGACTAAACGGAAGAAGCCAGTCACAAAAGAATCACATATAATATGATTCCATTTATTTGAAATGTCCAGAGAAGGATTTTTTAAATATTTTTTTTGCAGCCAGGTGTGGTGGCTCACACCTGAAGTTCCAGCAGTTTGGGAGGCAGAGGTGAGAGGATTGCCTGAGCATAGAGGATTGAGACCAGCCTGGGCAGCATGGCGAGACCTTGTCTCTACAAACTAAATCATAAAAATTAGCTGGGTGTGGTGGCGCAAGCCTGTAGTTCCAGCTACTTGGAAGGCTGAGGCAGAAGGATCGCCTGAGCCCAGCAGGCAGAGGCTTCAGTAGCCATGAGCGTGCCACTCCACTCAAGCCTGGGCAACAAAGTGAGACTCTGACTCAAAAATATATATATTTTTTATTTTCCAATTTGCTTTCACTTCCCTTTTCCCCCTTGTGATGGGAGAGAGGGTTTGGGGAGCCACAGCTTCCCAAAGGGCAGTAGGTCAGTGATCACACTTGCTAAGAGCGGCTGCTCTCCACTGTGGCCCGGCTTTTCCCTTGGGCCTGTCACAAGGAAGCCCGTGCTCACCCGGTTGTCTCAGCTCTTGCTCCATCCCCCCTACACTGTGCTGCTCCAGATTACTTTCCAGTCTCCCTTTACAGCGTAGCTTCCTGTCCCATATTGAATTGTGGAAATTATTTCTGTTCTTTTTTCTAAAAGTTTATTTATGTGACTTCTATATTGAATTTTACTAATAAGTTTTTCCTGTTTTGCCTTTCCTGTCCTCTGGGTCAGGCATTCCACCCACTCAGCTCTCCAAGTATGGAAATCTTGGGCATGTGGACGTCAGCCTCATTCAGGAGCCGCTCGCCTTTATCCTGCCAAGGAGAGAGCCGGTCTTCTCTCTGGATGAGAAGGAGCTAGCGCCCGAGCTGCCAGCGCTTCCAGCCGAGGAGCCAAGCCCAGAGCCTGTCACTCCAGCTTGCCCTGAGGGTGGACCAGAGGAGGTGGAGTCGGCGCCGCTGCTGCAGGGGGAGCCGCCGAGCGAGGGGCCTTAGCCCGTGTTCCCTGCGGGCAGAACAGGGTGTGAGCAGCGTCTGCGGGAAGGAGAGGTGCGGGTGCTGCGGCCGAGGCGGGCTCCGGAAGGCTGCGAAGGTGTTCATGGGAGGAAAGAGAAAGGGAGGCGCTCCCGGGTTACTCTTGTGCTTGGGTGGAGCGAAACAATAAAGCTGACCGTCGCACTCGCCGCCCGGAAAGCGCGTGCGAACTACGCTTCCCGGCGTCCCCTGCG